CTTGAGGGGGGAGGGGGGGGAGGAAGGGACTACACAGTCCAGTAGGCTATCTTTCAGGAGAGCTGGGGGAGGCGGTTGCATGGTGCGGACCTGGCCCAAACAGAAGTCAGCACCTCCATTAAGAGCATTGGCCACAACTATGACACAGTAGCAGTTGCGGTTGGAATGGTGACAATATGCTGGATCCAAGTGTCAGGAGTCTTGGTTCAATGGATGGAAGGTCACCCGTCAGGAAGGCAATGCCGGTAGAACCACACTGCTTGAAACTCTGGATTGCATTCTGCCAGCCACTCGCCCAACTGACAAGCCCCTGTGTCTGCTTCTTCAGGATGTCTACAAAATTGATTGTTTCCTCACTGTCCCTGTGGGCAGAGTAGAAACGGGTGTTCTGAAACCTGGCTTGGCGATCACCTTTGCTCTAGTGAACGTTGCCACTGAAGTGAACTCTGTTGAAATACACCATGAAGCTTTGAGTGAAGCTCTGCCTGGGGACAATGTAGGTTTCAATGTCAAGAACATCTCTGTCAAAGATGTTCCCGGGGCAACGTGGCTGGTGATAGCAAAATGACCCGCCAATGGAAGCAGCTGCCTTCACTGCTCAAGTGACTATCTTGACCCATCCACATGGCCAGATCAGTGCTGGATACACACCTGTGTGGGATTGTCACACTGCCCACATTGTTTGCAAGTTTGTTGAGCTCCAGAAGAAGACAGGTTGCTGTTTTGGTAAGAAGCTGGAAGATGGCCCCAAATTCTTGAAGTCTGGTGATGCTGCCATCGTCGACATGGTGCCTGGCAAGCCCATGTGTGTGGAGAACTACCCTGCTCCGAGTCACTCTGCTGTCCGAGACATGAGACCGACAGTTGCTGTAGGTGCCATCAAGGCAGTGGACCAAAAAGGCTGCTGGAGCTGGCAAGGTCACCAAGTCTGCCCAGAGGCTAAATGAATGTTGCTCCTAACACCTGTCACAGCAGTCTTAATCAGTGGTGGAAGAATGGTCTCAGAACTGTTTGTCTCCATTGGCCATTTAAGTGGAATAGTAAAAGTGTGCTTAATAATAATGCATTTGGACCATCCATTTCTTTTTTGTGTGTGGCAATTTAAAGTCACTAGTTTTTAAAATCAGTATTTTTAAAATGGAAAACAACTTGACCAAAAATTTGTCACCCATTTTGAGACTCATTCAAACAAAGCTTAATGAGAAATCTGTATCATCTTTTGGTCATCTAATGCTGATATTTTCTAACACTTGCATGATTAACTGAAACAGATTCTTAACCTGGGAAGCATTTAGAGAGAGGGGCCTTAAAAGGACTTGAGAATCATATGAGAGCGGGGTTGGTCGCAACACTTATATGACGAATTTGTAATACTTATAAGGTGCCTGGAAGGTGATCTGCCTGAGGACTATTACACATAGACTTTAGTTTTGTGTAGTAATAGCGTTGTGAGTAATTTCATCATAATGTATACTCCTAGTTACAATGGATGCAGTAGTTAGAATCTGAACTAATTTGGAGCATCGAGTGTGCTTTAAAGGACTGTATTCAGGAGCTAGGACAAATAAAAATACTGGAAGTGGGAAGAAAACCTGAAAACCTTAATGAAACTGCAACTGTCATCCATTATTGGGGGAATGTCACATGATTCCATCAGTTCCGAAAACAATTTTTCCATTCCTTAAAAGTTACATGTGAACACATCATCAAGCCCACACGTTCACTAGATACATATCCAAGAGAAATGGAGTGCCTGTTCGCCCAAAGACACGCACGCAAATGCTCTGAGCGGCATCATTCACAACAGCCAACATGTAGAAGCGATCCAAATATCCGTCAACTGGTAAAGGATAAACGATAGCTCAATTACTTTTTGACAATAAAAAGGAATGAAATACTGATCGTATGCTACAACATAGTTGATCTTCAAAAATACTCTGTTGAGTGAAATACGTTAGCTACAAAGGACCACATAACCCAAAATGTCTTCCCTTTGATGTGAAAGGCTAGTCTTATTTTTTTCCTCCTTTTTTGTTTATATATAGACTTATTTTTTTTTTTTTGGTTGAAATTTTTTTTTTTTTCTTTTTTTTTTTTTTTTTTACCTTTTATTAGGGGCTCATACAACTGTTATCCCAATCCATACACACATCAATTGTGTAAAGTGCATTTGTACATCGTTTCTCAAAACATTTTCTCTCCATTTAAACCCCCAACATTAGGTCCTCATTTTTCCCCTCCCTCCCTGCTCCCCCCTCCCGCATGAGCCCTTGATAGTTTATAAATGGGTATTTTGTCATATCTTGCCCTGTCCGACGTGTCATATCTTGCCCTGTCCGAGGACAGACTTTATTTTTTAAGATGACATCTATTAGACTGTTTCCTTCAGTTGAGTAATTTAATGATCTTATTGAATTTAGTTAAACTTATCTAATTGTGCAAAAGAATGCAAATTGTTAGGCTCGGTCAGGCATTTTGCCGGACTAGTTTGTCAATCAGTAGTCCACTCTATGATGGGGGTCAAGAGTAAGATCAGCCAATCTTCTTTTGACTTTTAAGGTGAGACCCAGGGGATACCTTATAGAAGTCAATACATAAGACTTTGTCATGGCACTGTTTTCTTATCCAATGTTGACCTTCACAACCAGCCACTGAGAACCCTGCAGGGCACCATTCTGCCCTTCCTCAGAGGAGGTTGCTGGGAGTTGGAAATGGCCCAAAGGAAACAGCTTTGATTGTGTGCACGAGGATCTTTTACTAATGCTACATAATGCATCCATTCTGAAATGTTCCTGAAGGCACTTGGCTTGACTCTTCTGTGATCCTCCCTTTTAATAACAGTGGCCTCATACAATATGTATCCATCTGTGATTGGTTGGCTTCACTCCGCATAATATTCTCCAGGTCCCTCCATGCCGTGAGGTGCGTTTATCAGTGATTTTCAGCAATGCAGAGCATCCCTGTGTGTGTGTATGTACCACAGCACCTTTATCCAGTTTTCTACTGACAAGTATTGAGGTGGTTACTGCAGCAGAGAGGGCAAAGGTGGGAAGATGAGGCAATAGGCTAGAGGAGGATAAGCTGAAGAGTTGACATGTAATAACTTGGGTGGAATAGAACATTGCCATCTTCAAGAGGGAGAAGAGATATCCATGGAAGCCGGAGGTCAAACTATATCGATGTTGGATTGGTAAACTGTTGATGATCTGGAATGCAACCTCCCACCGAATTCACAACAAACATTTGTTTTTAAATGCTGAAAAGCGAAACAATGAGAGGACACGCTCACATGCTACCATGGATATGAAATGCCACCGTTTAGAGAAAGACTGAATGTGGACCGGCGGTCACTTACTTAAGGCAGGTGCTAGGGGCAGGAATAAACGGAGGAAACGTTTTGGAATGTTCAAAAACTGGGTTGTGGTGATGGTTTCTCAATGTACAAGTCCTCTGAACATTCTTGAACTAGACACTTTCAACAAGGACCGTGGTGATTCCGTGGCACAATTCCTGGCTTCCATGCAGGACACTGCATTTGGCTTCTAGTCAATTCACTCCAAGTGCAACTACCACTCGTCTGTCAGTGGGGGCTTGTCCGTTGCTGTGAGGCAGAACAGAGGTTTCAGTGGAGCTTCCAGACTAAGACTAGGATGTACTTCCACAAACCAGCCAGACGACTGTAAGGGTCACAGTGATCTGATCCTGTTGTGCATGAGGTCACCATGAGTCAAGGACTGATTGAATAGCAGTTAATAGCATACCCAAAATAAGTGAATTTTATGGTATACCTCTGATATATTCAGACGCTGGTAAAAATAAAAGTGTTTAGGCACTTGAGAAGTTGGCCTCGAAGAGGATGGCACTAATGGGGGGCCTCTCTCCTGCTGGCACCAGGGTGTTTGTGTTGTTGCTGGTGTTGGTCTCCATCCTCTGGATCCCCGTGGTTCAAGCCAGCCAAGGTGGCCAACTCTTCATTTATATCCAGTCCATCAGCTCTTACCTGCAGCCTCCTGTGGCTGTGGTCTTCATCATGGGATGTTTCTGGAAGCGGACCAATGAAAAGGTACCCTGTGATTAACCCTTAAGACCCAAGTACTCCATCCATGAGAGTTGAGGACAGGAGACCTGAGGATGGGTTTGATCCAGGGGCAGGGGAAGTTCTGTGGAGGACGACACGGGAAGCCTGTTATCCGACCTTTGGAGAAAGGCAAACTTCTAAAAAATTATTATTATTTTTAGGAAATCAGAAAATATAATTTCTAGTAACTCTTTGACTAATTTGTTTTCTGCTAAATCATTTTATTGGGGCTCATACAACGCTTACCACAATCCATCCATCCATCCAGTGTGTGTCAAGCACATTTGTACATTTGTTGCCCTCATCATTCTCAAAACATTTGCTTTCTACTTGGTATCAGCTCCTCATTTCCCCCCTCCCTCCATACAAAATTATTTTCATGTATGTACTCAGTAAACAGGGAAATGAAATTAACAGTGAATGAAACAAAGTACTTGTCAATGATCAAATGTATGTAAAATATATGCAGCTCCAATGTTCCCAGATTACTGACTGTCATAGGGGAAAAGCTTTTGAGATAGCTTTTGGAAGTCCAGGAGATTTCTGTTAGCAGCCGTATCTCCCTTGATGTTCCTAAGATGCTTGTGCTCTGATTTGCAGGGTGCCTTCTCGGGTCTAACGGTGGGACTCCTCATCGGCTTGATTAGGCTTATCCTGGACTTTATTTACGAACAACCTTTGTGTGACCAGCCAGATGAGCGCCCAGCAGTGGTGAAGAATGTCCACTACCTCTACTTTTCCATCATTCTGTCTGTGGTGACCTTTATCACGGCGTCTACTATGAGCTGGCTCACAGAACCACCCCCCAAGGAGATGGTACCTTGGTGTTTGACTGTATTTTTGTGCCAACTCTTAATTGCAATTGACAATATTTTGACTCGAGTGGTTTTAAAAGCTTGATAATCCAGAACTAAACTTTAGGGACAACTTGATTAAGGACAGAGACGTTGGGTGGGACAAGCAGTTAATGTGCTCAGCTGCCTAACGGAAAGGTTTAAGATGACCCCTGGGTGCCTCAGAAGACAAGGCCTGCTGATTCACCTCCAAAAAAGTCAGCCCTTGAAAACCCTATGGTTTAAGGTTATATACTCTTACACACATACTGTGGTCGTGAGTCAGAATCAAGCTGGTTAGACTTAGGTTTGATTTTAGGCCGTGAAGAGTATATCAGAATCCCTCTCTCTTCTGCCCTGTGGCACTCTCTGGAGGCAGTACTTGTAGGGATACATCCCCTCACCTATTCTTAGGAAGCAAGTGCGTACACATGAGCATAAATATTTCCCCCAACACTTCCAGCAAATTTCTTTATTCCCACTGATGAAGTCAGTTTAACACACATGATCAACCCAGTCCAGAGGAATGGATGAGCTGAATGAATGGCTGACCTTCAGATCCCACACTACCCTAGGACTTAGGATAAGCCCTGAGGACTAGAATAAGGGAGTGGTATGCCCGCAAATGAGATCCAGGACTATTAAAGAAAGAGGTAGTATTGGAGAAAGGCCCACCAATTCTAAGAGTTCAGGGAATCAAAGCTTCTTGGAGGATGAGGTGAAAAGGCTAGAAGGAGCAGATCCAGAGGTGAAATTGGCCTTGGGGTTGGGCAGAGGATGGGGAACAAAAGGAGTGGTAACCTGTTTCCCTCACGATTCTCTGCCCTTAGGTCAGTCGCATGACCTGGTTTACTCGCCATGATGCTGTGGTCCAGAAGGAGCAAGTGCCAACTCTATCTCTTACCTGCCCTCAGAATGGAACACGGGAGGGTAGCTGCACCAGCATTCAGCTTGAGACTGATCAAGAAAACATGAACAAAACCCACAGATGTAAGCTGTCTTCTCCTTGGTTATAATCAGAGCCTAAAACTTTATATTTATAAGGGGATTTTTTTTTTGGATTGGAACTTTGATTTTTTTAAAAATCATTTTATTGGGGGTTCTTACAACTCTTGTAACCATCTATACATCAATTGTATCAAGTATATTTGTACATAGTTGCCATCATTATTTTCTAAACATTTATATTCTATTTGGTATCAGCTCCTCTTTTTACCTTCCCTTGCCCCTCCCCACTTTGTGACCCCTTGATAAATTATAAAATATTATTATTTTCTTCCCCCCTCCTCTGCCCACCTTCCCCCTACCTCCTCCTGGTAGCTCTACTCCTCTTTCTGTTCCTGAGGGTTTTATCTGACCTGGATTCCATGTGTCCTGAGCTCTTATCTGTACCTGTGCACATGCCTGCAGTGAAAGGCAGGGTTGGGGAATGGTGGTTGAGGAAGCCTCAAGGAACCAGAAGACTATTGTACTATACAGAGGACATCAGTGCTATACTTCACCCTGGTTGACTCATCCCTTCCTTGTGACCGTTCTGTGAGGGGATGATGTCCCATTGTCTATAGATGGGTTTGGGGTCTCTGCTCTGAACCCCCCCTTGTTCTGAACAATATGTTTTTGTTTGTCTGTTTGTTTGTTTTGGGTCTTCTGATGCCTGTTACCTGATCCCGTCGACACCTCATGATTGCACAGGCTGGTGTGCTTCTTCCACGTGGGCTGGTTGCTTCTCTGTTAGATGACCGCTTGTTTCACTTCAAGCTTTTAAGACCCCAGACACTGTATCTTTCAATAGCCTGGCACCATCAGCTTTTTTTCACCACATTTGCTTGTATACCCATTTTGTCTTCAGCGATTGTGCCAGGAGGGTGAGCATCATAGAATTCCAGGTTGTAAGAATAAAGTGTTCTTGTTTGAGGGAGGGCTTGAGCAGAGGCTCAAAGTCCATCTACTTCCTCAGTGTATTGCTATATATATATATATATGTACCTAGGCTAATACCTGTATTTCTATGAATCAATATATTTACATAAATGCACACCTATGTTTATACATCTATCCATAGCCTTGCTTCCTAGATCTTTCCTGTTTCCATTGACTTTCCTCCTTTCCCACCATCACGCTTGCCCTTCTTCTGCCTCTTAGTAATTCCTCTCAGCTAGATTGCTGCTGCTCCAATAACCCCAGGATCTCTACGTCCTCCTCATTGTTGATTTTAATTCCCTAGTTGTTCCCCTGTCTATGGCGTTGTTTGCTCACCGTTCCTTTCCCCTGCCTCCTCCCCACCGACGTCTCCCTGGAAACTTTGGCCCCGTTGCTTTTTCCTCGGGCTTGCTTCCCATGCCTATTTCTTAATTTTCTGGTCCAGCAACAGGAGTGCTGGGCAGGTGATTCTACCAGGATGCCATCTTGATTCAGACTCAAGGGAAATTTTTATGTCAGATAAAAAGCCACAAATGGGGCTGACTTTGAGTTTGACATCCCCTAGCCCCCAAAGAGAGTCCCCCATCTCCAGCCCCTAAGGGAGGTTCTTTACTGATTTCCAACAGAAGTCTCAGAAGAGCAATAGCAGACAATTGTTGTGTGCTTGCTAAAATACAGCTCATTTTAACCTTCATGCAACCCCATAAGGTAGGTTGGCGCTGCTAGCATCCTTAAGTTGGTGCTTTTAAACTTTCCGCTTACAGATATACTTTGGTCTAGCCCACTTACTGTTTTAATAAAAGATGAGTTAACATTTAAAAATAGGGAGATTTCACATAAAATTCCACATCTACACCTTCATTGGAAAAATGGTAATACTTCACAACACTGGGTAAACATGTCTATGTGGCAAGATCTGTCTAGAGTTTCAAAATCTAAGTCTCTGTCCCCTAGATTTGCGATAGACCTTCTAGGGACCCAAAGTCCCTGCAAGTCCCCATTATCTCTGCATCACATTGAGGCTGCCTTTATTTTTAAATTTCTAATCACTGTAGATATGAACTTAGGTCAACCTGAAGTAGTAAAACTGAAGGACAGACACAGCGTTCGTGTGTTAAAGAAAAATAAAGGAGAACAGGTGTATTTTGTTATTTGGGTAGTGGTGAAGATTATTTTGATATGTTTACAGACACAGCACTGTTTCCCTTGGCAGCACTTGCTGTATTTTGTGGGCTTTTGTGTTGGCAGGCCCAACTCTGAATGGAGGAACATTTCCTCACACATGTTCATTTCTTGTCAGTTGTCTAGAAGGCAATGTTATACAGAGGGAAGAATGACATAAAGCAAGATCCTAAACCTACCGCTGCCGCTGTTTGCCAGCTATGCAGGAAAACATCTTGAGCTAATTAACCCTCTGAGCCTCTCAGGTTCTTCATTGAAAATGGTGAACACAGGCCTGTCT